GGTCCAGACATGTCCGGGTCCGGGTCCGGGTCCGGGTCCGCGGTTGCCATGTTTTTTTCTTGTTTTTCTTTTTGTGTGTTATACCGTCGGACTCATCAGTGGCCAGACACGCCCAAGAATAAGAGACACGGTCGTTATATAAAAAAAAGAGCCAGTTCGTCAAAGTCAAAAGTCATAGTAATAGAGATACATTCAGCCAAGCAGAGCCTTTTTTTTCCTTCTTTCTTTTTTCTTTTTTTTTAAATACAGTCAGTTAACGTGGCCTGTAACTTTGACTGACTGTGTTAACTGTACCTTGCACTGACTGTGTGGACTGTACCTTGGCTTCTTTTTTTTTTTTCCCAGCAATCATTTGACAGTTCTTTTTATTTTTCTGACTGTACCTTGGGCCTTATTTTTGGTTGTTGTTCCCCTTTTTTTTTTTTAAAGGCAGCAACCTTGAGATATCATCATCGGTAATTCACAATTGTCACTTGTGGTATTTTACTCATCTGCTTCCCGTGGAGCTCGAACTCAGATCTGTATTTCAATTTTCAACAGTTCAGGGGTGTATCATCTGAGCTAGGCCAGTTGGTACCTTGGGCTTTTGTTGTACTGAGTAACTTTTTACTGTGGTAAGTTGGTAACTATGCAAATTTACTACAAGCTACTGATTGACTCACAGCCAATTATAGCCACACCAGGTTAAAGTCAGAATCAATTACAGTGTCAGCCAATTGCAGTCCGAGTGTCCATTGGGACACCCATTAAGATTGGAACAACACAGACAATTAGCATGGCCCCTGCGCGCGAGAAATAATAATAATATTACAATAAGTATTAAACTATAATAATAATAATAATAATAGTAATAAAATAATAATAATAATAATAATAATAATAACATAAATAATAATAATAATAATATGCTTTTTTTTTAAATGCAGTCGGAGTCAATGCGAATGACATCACAGCCAAAGTCAGTCCCCTGTCACAGTCAGTCACAGTCACAATCAGGTAGCATGATATATTTGCATGCACATTCCTGGTATCAACTACAATCAACCAGTTTGGACCGCAGTGCCATTCACCCACACAGACACAGTTACCGTTCCAGTCATATGGCAATGGGTGATGGTCCCGCTGTCTGGTCAGGTCACCCTGCCAATATGGCAATGGGTGACGGTCCCGGGTAGTTAACACTAGGGTAGGACAGGGGGGTTGGCGGTGCGCCAGGGCAAAAATGATAAGAGGAAAGGTGGGTGGGGTCTTCAGAGGGATTCAGCTGGACAACAGAGTGGCCGAGTACTGTGGATAACTGTCATTGGTCTAGTTTTCCACCTCTACAACAACCTGGGCTTAAAAAAAAAAAGGAAAAAAAAAAAGAAAGAAAGAAAGAAAGTTTTCTCAAAAAAAAAAGGAAAATTTGCCTGCCGCCCCTGAAATTTGTATTATTTTGTGTCGTGCCTCTCCAACGGCCGATTAACCCTGTCGCACCCCTCCGGCAGTGATTCAAACTTCCGCTAAAACCCCGGTGTGGATTGGGCCTCAAATATTTTCGTTATGCCCCTACTGGTACTGGTTCCAAATTTGCAGCATGGCGGATAGCCGTTAACTGGCAGCAGGAAAGATTTTGAGATACCCCTACCGGTACCATCCATCTTTTCAGCACTCCCCTGTTGCCGATGGAGGCACGCTGGGGCATTCCCCCAGGGCCTGGGAGGGAGCTACCGGGGCATGACAGAAATTTGTCAGTGGCCCCATGTTTCTGTCGCTCCCTTGCTTGTGTACAATGACAGTAGCCCACTCTGGCTGGGTACTTTTAGCCTGTGCGACCTCCATGCCATGCGCATCTCCTTGCTCTCTCTCTCTCTCTCTCTCTCTCTCTCTCTCTCTCTCTCTCTCTCTCTCTCTCTCTCTCTCTC